CAGTGTGACTGTCTGCGCCTCTCTGAATTTGCTTACAGAGCACCACTGCGACACGGAGGACGAGGAAGAAACAGAGTCCCTGGACTCCAGGTGACCAGCATGGTCAGGGCTGTGAGCCAGTGACGGGAGCGGGGGTGTGAGAGGTTTGTGTCCTGAAAGACGCCGCAGAGGTTAGAGTCAGGATCACACGCACATTGTCTCTCTGAACTGCTGCGCCGAGTGCGTGGAGAGCTGAGGCACAGCAAGGAAAGTTGTAGATCACCCGACAGGAAATTATGTTGTCTCAATATAGAGGGCGTCTGTGCAGGGAGAACTAAGCAGTCTTGGGGCGTTATTGTCCTGAAAGACGCCGCAGAGGTTAGAGTCAGGATCACACGCACATTGTCTCTCTGAACTGCTGCGCCGAGTGCGTGGAGAGCTGAGGCACAGCAAGGAAAGTTGTAGATCACCCGACAGGAAATTATGTCTTGTCTCAATATTGCTAAGCAAAGGCTTAGAAGGCCCAAGTTCTCGTGCAGTCTCCGCCACTGGAGCCTGTATTCCCGGGACCCTGTCAGATCCCCACAGTTCACGCACAGGGTGGGGCCCTGCTGTGGCTCTCACTGCGGGCTCCCTGTCCTGACTGTGCCCAGCGGGAAGCTGGCTCTCTCCCCTCGTCACTGCTTATCTGGACGGTGCCCTGGGCAGAGGCGCCTCTCTTCCCTGCACGCTTTTCTCTTTCTGTCTATCTGTCTGGCTCTGTCCCTCTCTTTGTATCTGTCAAATTCTCGTAGTAGGCAGCAGTGCATGAGTCAGAGGGGAACGGTTTCCTCTTGTCTTTTGTAGCAAGGGTCAGAGGTGTTGGAATTCACCCCGAAGCTTTGAGGCCCACTTGGGAAGCTGTGCTTCCTCATCCATCTTGACTTTGTCTTTGTTCCTCCGTTTCTCCCCTCCCTCAGTGATGAGCAGCAGGATGAGAAAGTGGATGAACTCCTGTCAGGTTCAGTGGCGGAGCGCTCCCTCCTCGGTCCTGGGCGTCCTGACCCACCTTACCAACAGCAGCATTGCATCAGTGTTGCCGTCCCTGCAGAGGAGCATGAAGCGAGTCCTGCACAGGACGGAACCAGTGAGTCCCCCAGCATCCCGCTGGAAGTGCGTCTCCTGAGTCCAGGATCCCCCAGTTCTGTGCTCGGCTCCGGTGTCGGCTGAGAGTGGCATCTGCGGCCGCCCGGGAGGCCCCTTAGGGTGCAGCACTCCATGCAAGACTCCATGGGGACTTGTTTGATTGGGGCCTTTCCCGGTCAGGATGTAGAGGAAGCAGGAACCTGACCTCTGCACACAGCTGACACAATACAGAATGTTGAGGTTGGTGCCAGAGAGAATTTAGGGACAGGGGACAGATTAGTTTCTTGCCATCCTGAGGCTACACGAGGAAGACAGAGACACAGGAACCAGGATGTCTGGGGTTGGCTGCGATCCAGTGCTTTCTGACCCCAGAGCCGAGGGTGGCAGAGCGGGAGACTGAGTGAGCTGGCCGCACAGGACCTTTGAGAAGGAGCTGCAGGATGAGGCAGAGTCCTTGGAGAGAACCTGGCATCCAGCCCTGTCCAGCTCCCTCCAGTTCTCACGTCCTGTTTTCCCTGCTTGGCCGTTCATTAAAAAGTAGATTGGTGGGTTGAAGATGTTTTCCCTCCACTCCATAGCAGGTATTCAGAGTCCTGCCAAGTGTCCAGAGAGGCTTGCGATGAAAGGATAAACAATATCTTGAGCAAGCATGGTGACACCGCTGACGAGCCTGTCCCCTGGCCTGTGAGGAGGACGCTGGGAGACACCTGGGGCCCGGCTGAGCTGAGGGAGGGGCAGCCATGTCCCGGGGAGGCTCTGTGTGGAGACACCGGGGCAGTGTTGCTGGAGAAGCACCGGGGCTGGAAATCAGGCGTCAGAGGCGAGGTGAGGCCTCCAGTCCTTGAGTGGGCAGCACAGAGAAGTGTATGAGAGGCAGACCCAGCATAAGCCAGGACTGCGGAGGCAAAGAGCAGTGGGCTGGGGCACACGGCAGTGGTCAGAGCTCCTCAGGAGGCTGAGACAAGATGGTCACGTGAGCCTGGAGTTCCAGACCAGACTGGGCGCCACTGTGAGGCCACCTCTCCACATTAAAAACAAAACAGAAGCGGAAGCTCTGCTGAGATATTCAGTGGGGTGGAAGTGCAGAAGCAGAGGGGGAAGAGGGGAGCAGGTGTGCATCGGGGCACAGAGAGGAGGGCCCTGTCTGGTGGACGTGCAGGAGGATGAGGCAGGACAGACACCTGAAAGACAAGGTGAGGAAAGGGCAGCGGACCTCGGTGGGAGTAGCTGTGCAGAGGGAGGAGAGAGGCCCACAGCAGACCCTGTGGCCCGCATCCCCTCTGAAATGCAGCGTTGGCCTAAGGCGCCTGGCAGCCTTGTACCGCACAAACCCCTCAGCCCCCTGCGTTCTGTCACAGGAGATATCAGCATGGTCCTCTGCTCCTAGCCACCACCTCTGTCTCTTCTCATTGTCCTGTCCTGTCAAGCTCCCAGGTCCCTGCCGGCATCGGCGTGTAAACACGCCTGCGTCTCACTGTGTCCCTGACACCGGGTCCCAGCCCCGGCGCTCTCCCCGTCCCGGAATGCGAGCTTCCTCCTCTCTCCGTAGCCCAAGGTCTTTCCTCCGCCCGCGTGGCCTCGGTTCAGTCTCCACACCACCAGCAGCGCAGTGTCTCGTGGAGTACGGGGTCAGCCCTGCAGGAATTTTTCTAGAGAGCCACTATTTTAGATTTCACGAGCAGCGTGATAAAGGATTGTTGTCACTGTGGCCTAGACTGGGTGCGAGTGGCGTTGTGTGATCTTGTTTCCCAAGGTCGGGGACATTCTGCCCAGTGCCACAGGGGACCTTGCAGTTCTTTTGGAAGACGCAACCTGATATTCTGCTCATGGTGTCCTGTTCTCAGCCCAAGAACGCTTATGCCTGTGTGTCCCACAGCACAGGGTTTGTAACGGGTCACGAGGTGAGTGTGTGTGGTGACCATCGTGTGTGCGTTGTTTGCAGAACCTGAAGGCATCCTGAAACCTCAGGAGGAGCAGGCAGCCGAGCTGTCCAGGTGAGTGTGAAAGTCACGGCCTGTGAACGACGTGGTGACACCTGAGATCGCGGGTGCAGGGAAAGCAGGAAGCGCTCCGTATTTCTGCCTCCTCCCTGCGCCAGCCCCGGATGGGCACTGTGTTCTTGGTGCCGCTCCCTTTGGTTCCCCCTCCATCGCTTCTCAGGCCTACTAACCCGGCGTCGTTCTGCCCCAAGGTGCGGTGAAGTAGTTTCCCTGTGCTCAGGGAAGCCTGCGCTCTCCTGCGGGAGGCCGTGGCGAGGAGATGCTCCTCTTTCTGCAAGGTTCACCTTGCTTGGCTGGGATTCCATGTGTAGAAACGGAACCAGGGAAACGAGGTCGTGTGAAATCCCAGTCCTGACAGGACAGCCCCGGGGCCCATGGTCGCTTGCCCTCAGCAGAGCCTCAGATCTCCAGGGCCCAACTAAGCGCCCGTCAGGCGGCCACACGTGTGTGTTCTCAGCGCGGCGCTCTCTTTGCCTGCGTGTCCTGGCCGGCGTATTGTGTCGTCGCTCTCGTCAGTTACCCACCCAGGGTGCGGGAGAACCGCCAATGACCATGGCCTTGAGAATTCACACACACGGCCACTTGTCCCCGAAGGACGGAACTCAGCGATGCAGAACTGATCTCTGCACGCGGGCCTTGGCTCACTGTCAGGTCTGTCACAGGCAGCAGTCCGCGTCCATGAGGAGCAGGCTGCAGCCGGCATCCCTCGTAGGTGTGGAGTGGCTCAGGAATTGGCCTGCCCTCGCCTGTGACCCCACCACACAGCTTAGGTGGTGGCCAGCAGCCATGTGGCAGCGTTCCATTGGAAGGGCTGCCCTGGGGTGTACTCGGAGAACTCCCTGGCACAGTCCTGTCACCTCACCGACACCCCACTCACACTCTGCTGGGTGCCCTCTCTTCCTTAGGACCTGCTGCTGCGTCGTCATCCCTGAGCCTGCCCGAAAGCTGAGTTCTCACTGTAAATGCCGCCTTCTCTCCTCCCTTGGATTTCAGGTCTGCAGTGGAACTGGGGAACCAGATGTTGACACACATAGGGAACACTTGCTGCAGTTGGAAGGTTATCATCTTCTCCCTCCGTCGCAGAATCAGGGACCTGCTGTCTCGGGATGGCCCTGGGAGTCGTGAGGGGCAGAGCCACCGAGACCATGCTGAGGGGCACAAGCTGGCCGAGCCCCTCGCCCTCCAGCCCTGCCCAGGTGAGGTGACCACCGGCCCCGCTCAGCTGTGGTCCTGTCCGAGGCGCCCAGCTCTCGGGAGACCCCACCAGACAAGCTGCCTTTGCATGGCTTCTCTTACTGTCTGTATTTCCCTTCGAGCCTGGGCACATGGAGATGCCTCGGGGGAGGGGAGAACAGCAGCAGGGTGGGAAGCCACACGATTCCCCTCTCGCCTTCCTCCCTGACAGAACCGGGCTCCTGGAGAACAGCAGCCTCGCCCAGCATCCTCACAGGAAGGAGAGGTGGCAGCGGGAGGCATGTGCGATTCCTCACAGCCTCGGCTGAGGGTGGGAGTTTCCCCGGTGTGCTTCATAGGCTGACTCAGTGTGCTGGAGGGGTCGTGGATTGTTCCAGATTGTTTGGCATCTGTCCTTTTTGTGTGTGCGTTTTTAGAGTTAGGGTCTCACTGTGTTCAGTGTGCCTTGAACTTACTCTCTATCCTCAGCAGGTCTTGAACTCATGTCCCTCCCCTTGTTCAGCCTCTCCGAATGCTGGGATTACATACAAGTTTGTGCCACCACACCCGGCCCTCCCTGGATTTCCGTTTCCTCCCCTCTAAAATAGTCATTATGTGCTGCTGGTACTCTCGGGAGCCAAATAGGGAGTTTTCAGGAGTGCGTGCAGTGGGTGATCTGACTCCAGGCCGTGGCGTACCGACTGGTGTGGGAGAATGTGGGGGCGGGACATTGGGACACTAGCGTTCTCAGAGGTAACAGGACAGAACTCTCCTTCCTGAAATGACAGGAGGGACATTAGGGGTCGGAGGTCTCCGCTGTGGGGCTCTGTGGGTCAGGACTATCCGTGTTCTCTGTAGTGAAAGGAGGCGGTGGGAGGTGGGGCCGTGCTGAGATGGAGAGGCACTGACCGCAGTCCACTGACGGGACGGAGGAGGGTCCAGGGCTCGGCCGCCCAAGACGTGTGAGCTTGGCCCGGTGAAGCTCCCAGGACACCACAACAGCCACCCACAAACAGGGACGTTCTGTGCCTAGGCGCCGCCTGCCGTCCACCCCGTTTCCATGCAGCCGACGGGGCCGTGAAGTGCGCTCTGCTCTGGATGCAGCCTGTGGCTCCCCTCATCCTAGCTCTCCATTTCCTTTCTTTCCCGTGGAGAGTGAGCCTCCCTCTCTGTCATCCAAGCATCCCCAGGAACACACGATGTCTCCCTCTGTGCCTGGGTCACTGGGTGGTGTCACCCACAGGCAGGGACGTCAGAAAGGGCTGCAGTGGGAAAGCTCAGCACAGGGAGAAGCGCGATTGTGTGTCCTGAAGCCTCTTCTCCTTTCAGCTCGCGCCCAGGGGACCTGTCCCCAAGGGCTTCCCAGCCCAACCTTCGAGGTGCCCGAGGACCACTGTGTGGGAACACAGCCGGGTCAGTACCTTGACCGTGGAGCCGGCAGAGCCACCCTGAGCCTTTCTTCTGCCCCCTGGAGATTCATAGGCCACACTGATGCCGGACAGCAGTGGCTCCACTCGACAGGTAGGAAGGGAAGGAAAGGTCTGAGGCTCCTGTCTGTGTGTGGGGGTTGCCAGGGCACCGTGGGGAGGAGACCACGGCCTCTGCTCTCTCAGGGCCAGACTGGAACCCGAGATTCTCTAGCAAGAGTGAGGAGCCCGCAGGAGCCTGGGCTTCAGACACTCAGGTCCTCACCAGCAGGTCACTGATCCTACCTGGCCGGTCCCGTGATTCCATAGATTGACGTCTCAGTGTCCCCATGTGAGGGTAGGAAACACACTCTGCACCAGGGGCGTCTGCCTGTTCCTGATGCTTACACACACCTGATCCACACTATTTTGTGCGATCCTTAATTCGGTGTCACCAGTACCCAGTTCCATGCAAGCAGCACGATAAAAACTTTGAGAATGAAAATCAAATCTGTGAAACCTGAATCTGTGGTTTAACGCAGAGTGACCACAGGGACTTTTCACTGTGGGTCCGGCAGTTTTCAGGGCCCGTATCCATCGTGAGCCCAGCCCCATGTCCGACAGCCTTCACGCACACGGCACAGAGACCAGGCAGCTTCCTGCTCCCCGTAGTGTATCTTCCCATGGTCTCCAGTGCTCCTCTCCCGAGGTTTTCCCTGAAGTCTGAGTTTTCTTGATTTTCTCCACCTTTTCCTCCGCAGAGCACATCTCATGTCCACCGCGACTTCCTGATCTTTGCCTTGTCTACCTGGTAGCTAGCGGTTGTTAGAATTTTCCCAGAGTAATTTTAAATCGGGAATACTTTGCTCCCCGCAACACCATCTTATCATTCCTGCTCATGTAAGAAACAGCGACGGCAGAGGCAGGCAGTCTGTAGACTCCGTCTCCCCGGGCTTTCTCGTGCAAGGCCTCTTTCTTTATTGATCACGCTCTTGGGTGGAAGCGTGTGGCACAGGGAGGCCCTGGGTAACAGTGGGTGCTGACGGCTGTCCTTGTGTTTCAGAGCTGAATTTGGATGCTTCCCTTGGATTGGAGAACCCTCCCAAGGCAGAGGGTGATGCTCTCGGAGGCTCAGGAGATACCACCCGTGAGATTCGGGCCCATGGCCGTCCTGATGCAACCGCTGTCCCGAGACAGAGGATGGAAAGGAAACCCCGGTTCCGCCAGTGGAAAATGGCCTGCAGATTCCCAGGCGCTCAGGCTTAGGCCGCAGAGGTAATGACTGCTGTGGCCTGGGTGCTCTTACTCCCCAAAGCTGTCACTCCAGGAGCTCGGGAGCTCTTCAGACATGGGTGGTGAGCTGCCCAGGCATTGAGGGTCCCCGCTGCGTTCCCATTCCCCTCTCCGTGTGCAGTTAGAGTCTGCAGTGCGGCTCCGCTGTGTCTCGTGGCCTCAGAAGAGAAGTGGGCCTTTCAGTGAGCTCCCGCGGGCGACCTGAACCCTGGGCTGCCATTTTCAAGACCAAGTGGTGACGCGCAGTCCCGTCCACCCCTGCGGCGGTTTGTAGGTCTAGTTAGGGAGGCGCCTGGACGTGCTCAGCGTGTGACTGTGCCCAGATGGCGCGAGGACCTGAAGAAAGGACCTTGGGCTGCGGCTGCCCTCCCTGCCCGCGCTTTCTCGTTCCGTTCTGAGTGACGCCTTTTCTGTTCTCCCCGATCCACTGTGGAATAACACTTCGCTCCAGCCTTGGAATCCTCATTCCCATCTCTCCACGTGGCCCACTTGGCCATGACGAGGTTGAGGCCTCAGATCAGAGCCTCTGCCCTTCACAGTGTGTTTAGGGGAAGGGCCTGGGCCTGGGCTCTAGGACTTGGCTGTAAGGAGGCTCCTGTGACTTTACCTAGCGCTCACCTTTGTGCCCTGTCTTGTGGCCTCAGCGTCTCCTCTTTAGTAAGTGCGGGACTGGACGAGGGTGTGTCTGATGTTTCTGCTGAGTTTTCCCACTGCCCAGGCACTCATCCCTCATCCTGGGGTGCACAGTCACAAGAGGGTGCGTTTCTCAGGTCAGCGGCCTCTCCCGCTGCAGCAATCTGAGTGTGTGTCACTGAGGCCAAGGTCACCCCTGCCCGAGAGGTGTGAAAAGTTCTCCCTGCTCACCAGAGAGGATCAGGAGGATGGCGGCGGATGTCACCAGCTGCTGGGGTGGCAGTGTGTGTCACTGAGGCCAAGGTCACCCCTGCCCGAGAGGTGTGAAAAGTTCTCCCTGCTCACCGGAGAGGATCAGGAGGATGGCGGCAGATGTCACCAGCTGCTGGGGTGGCAGCCAGGGCCCTGAGTCCTGCGCCAGGGTGACACTGCAAGATCAGGAGGTTTTCCTCTGCCCTGTGGGTGTCACCTTCCCCTCCAGGCCCGCCTGTCCCCAGGACCTGACCGAGACTGTCCTTTCATCTCTCTCCCCGGCCTCAGGTCCCACATACTGCTGGAGCCAGGGAAGGTACTGCTGACTTAAGAAGATCAATCAGCAAGAGGACTCTGCACTTTATAGTGACGTCTACAACAATGTACCAGCCGCGTTGCCACACAGAAGCGATGCTTTGTGAGAGCTGGATTCTCAACCAGGGACTGCACTTGAGTTTTATTCCAAAGGCCAGATTTTGCTTCTCAGTAGTATATTTCAAAATCTCCAATTTCAGGTGTGACAGATACTCCAGATGTCTTTGACCTAGATCCAGTTTTTCTCTTTGAATTTCAATTTTAATAGTAATTTGTTAGCATGAATGTTTAGAATGATAGTGTCTTCCAGTATGTACTGGAGAATTTTACAAAATTGATTTTTATTGTCTTCATTTTATGATCATTTTGGTGGAAAAGCATCTAAGTTAACATAACCTTTCTTATTTTCCTCTTTTAGTTTTACTCTAAAATCTAGTTACTTTTATGCAGATTTTACCATATATAGTAGATATTATTTCTTGTCGTTTTGTTTTCCTGTTGTTTGTGTGTTTTATTTGGTATTTAGTAAGTGTTACATAGCTCATGTTTCACATTATCGTAATAATATTTTTGTACCTTTAGTCACCTTTATTTGACAAAGCTTATAATGTTATTTCCATCCATCCAAACAGCCCCATTACACACCATTGTACCCACCTTGTCTACACTGTGATTCTTCTTTGACATCCAAATGTAGTATATTACTACTCACTCACTCTTGAACATTGAGTGCTGTCAGTTGTACTTACTGGGTGGAATTCATCTGCAACAAATTTCACGGTGGAATCACATGGCTGTGAGGATTTCATGAATATACTCTGTTCACTGCCTTTATACACAGAGAGCTCAAAAGACATAGGGTTCTTGCTAAAAATGATTCTTTTCTAAGTGATTAGAAGTTATTTTTTTGCTTTTTGGGATAGACATGCTGTGTCTATTTCCTGTACTTCACTTTTGTTCTACTAACCACAAATTCCTACCAGTTTTTCAATATTTAATCGTAATTCAGTGTTCAAATCTCCTATTTGTATTTTAAGTTTGTATCTTTAAAACAGTATTCATGGGCCGGGGATGTGGCTCAGTTGTTCCACCACCTGCTTTGCAAGTACAAGGGCCCAGCACCAAAAATAAAAAAATAAATAAACAAATAAAACAGTATTCAGATAAAATCTGCAAACAGATCAGGTGATTATGTCTTTAATGCCTGCTATAATATACAGTTTCCCCCACATTTTCTTTCCTGTTGATTCTGCAATCCCTAAGCTTACCAAGATTGGCACCAAGACGGGCTGCTCTTTTGAGTCTAGATGTTTTGTTTGTCAGGGTGAGATGTTCATGCCCCTTGGGGCCATTGTAATACAGAACTTGTGGTATCACAAAGACAGTTATACAAAACAAGGGACCTCTATCGAATGTTGTCTTAGGTATACATTGAGTTAATCCTTCAGTACAAGCAAACCAAGCATCTTCCCAGCACAATAGTGTAAGGCCCCTGAGGTGGAGTGGTTAGTAATCGTACTATTGCATAGGTCGTTGTAGGGTGAGTGAGACAGATCAAAACCTGTACTTGCCAGGCAGATCCCTTGTCCCTGGATGTCTAATTGTCCTAATGTAAGTCTGGGCCTGCTCCAGTTACAATCATCGGATTGTACTGTCTCAGGTTGGCTTATGAGCCCAATGCTCACATAATAAGGGGGCTAATCAAGGCATCACCAATAATCTTTGGCTTCTTTGGGGGCTGTCTGATTTCATAGTCTATGTACTTGAGCTACCATTTCTTTCTTTCTTTCTTTTTTTTTTTTTTTTTTTTTTTTTTTTTTTTTTTTTTTTTTTCTTTTTTTTTTTGGTGCTGGGGATCGAACTCAGGTCCTTGTACTTGCGATGCAGGCGGCATAACCACTGAGCTAAATCCCCGGCCCGAGTTAGCATTTCTAAAAATGATGTAGTGCAAGGGGATTTTTTATGGGGGTGGTAGGTGTCAGAAGACTGAGGGTGGGTGTAAAAGCCTCTGGGTGGCCGGGTTTTTCTGTAACTTTTTGTTGGGGTTCTTTTTCCACCAGATGGGGTAAAACCCAATCTTTAATAGGGCCAATTGGGGTTAGGGTTTGGGGTTGGGGGTTTAAATTTTTCGGATCCCATCCTGGCATATATAACCTAATTTCCCAAGTTTTTCCTGATCCTCATGAGTAATCTGTTATCTTTTTGGGTTTGATAGTTATACAGTCATTAGGCCACACACAGTGATAGGAGTCATCTGTAGCCAGATATTACTGTTTTTCCAAGGGGCTATGGTTTCACAACCCCTTTTGGAGCAATGATAATCTCCAGGGCTGAGCTCACAATGAGAGTCATCCAGTGCTGGACACACTTAATATTGTGTGGGGGTTGGGTTAGAATAACCAGCACAGCCTCCGAAATCGAGGCTTCCCAACATTAAAACCCAGTTGCCCAAGGCTGTATTTAATATAGTGGGTAACAGGCTGTTTTTTACCTTTTAAGCTGCATAAGCTTATTTTGAACATAACCTCTGAATTGTCTGGCCCCTTTATATATTTATCAAGAACTTTCCCAGTGGAGGTTAATCTAAGCTCCCATATTTCCTGAGGAGCGTAAGGATTACAACCAGATGTTATCTGTAGGTTATTACACAGAATATATACACATTGTTTTATCAATCTATCATGTGTATTAGTCTTATCTTTTTGTCTCCTGGTTGGCTGATGATCTTCCATCTTGTCTCAGTCCGGTCCTCAGGTGTGGCCTTAGTGTGGCTGTGGTGGACCCACGGAGTGATGCCGGCCACCTTTAGGGCAGAGGGAGTCATCGGGACAATAGGATAGGGCCCCTTCCAATGAGGTTTGAGTGTTTTGGAGGAGTGGCGACTTACCAGCACAAGATCTCCAGGGTGGAACTTGTGACTTGTCTAGTTCTTTTCAGCTGGGGCTCAGGTCTCCTGGATCTGGCTCTGAATCTCCTGTTGTAAATCCTGAAGAGCTTGTAAGGATTTAATCACAGTCTGATTATTACATTCAGTAACAGTTTCTAAATTTACCTTAGGCAACAATGGGGGCGGTCTCCTGTACATAATTTCATAAGGTGTCAGCTTTTTAACATGGGGTGTACACCTGACTCTTAACAGGGTTAGAGGGAGAAGATCTGGCCAGCTACAGCCTGTTTCAAGAATAAACTTAGTCAAAGTATACTTTAATGTGTGGTTCATCCTTTCAACTTGCCCTGAACTTTGTGGCCAATAGGCACAATGTAGTTTCCAGTTAGTATTTAGTGCTTTGGCCACTAACTGAGAAACCTTGGCTGTGAAAGCCAGGCCATTGTCAGACCCCAGGAATTATGGGAGACCAAATTGGGGAATAAGCTCCTGAAGTAGTTTTTTACTTACAATATGAGCTGTTTCTCCTTTGGTAGGAAATGTTTCAACCCATCCAGAATAAATATCAACCCAGACCAACAGATATCTATATCCATGGCTTGGTTTTAGCTCAGTAAAGTCCAGTTCCCAGTATTGCCCAGATGTTCTTGCCAGCGACAGACACCTTTTTCTCCTGAATCTGTGCTGGCATTTACTGGAGCACAAGCCTGACACCTGGAACATATATCTTGGACCATTGAGGCTAACTTAGGAATGAAAAATTTAGAACTCACCAGTGTTCTCAGTTTCTTTTCCCCCAGTTGGGTCAGCTGGTATGTTTGTTGAATCAGTTGTCTTCCAAGTGCTTGTGGTAAGCACAGCCAACCATCAGGGCATGTCCACCATCCACTGTCTTGTTTAGAGGCCCCTATGTGTTTGTTTTGATTTTCTTCATCTTGGGAATACTCCAGTTTAGAGGGCAACTCAGAGAATACCTTTATCGGCAGGGCCAGGGTATCATTCCCCACTGGTTTTCTGGCCACTTGTTTTGCCACCTGGTCGGCTCTTTGGTTTCCAATGGCCTCAACCATGTCCAATTTTTGATGTCTTCTTGCAGTGTATAACCGCCACTGCTTTAGGTTTCCAGATGGCCTCTGGCAGAGCTAATCTCTCCTGTTTATTTTTTATGTCCTTTCCTCCTGATGTGAGTAGCCCTCTCTGTTTATATATTTCTCCATGAACATGGACAGTTGCAAACGCATACCGGCTCTCAGAATATATGTTGGTAGTCCTTCCTTCAGCCAGGAGTAGGGCCTGGATGAGAGCTATCAAATCAGCCTCTGAGCAGATGTCCCGTGGCACCCATGGCTCAGAGGCTGGCCCATCTAGTTGTTCCCTCTGCATCCACCACCACTGCCCCTGCCTACCTTATTCTTTGTTCCATAAAGCTACCATCCGTGAAGAAAGTTTCCTCTGCATCTGGCAGGGGAAGGTCTCGGAGGTCCGGTCTGGCAGCAGTCATCTTCTTAATGTTTCTCTGCAGTCGTGTAGGGGAGCAATTGGGTCCAGGACAGGCAGCAGAGTGGCAGGGTTTAGGGACGTGGCATCTGTGAATTTAATTCTAGGATGATCAATCAAAAGAGCCTGGTATTGGGTCAGTCTTGCATTTGATAGCCAGTGATCTGATCCTCCTCAGAGCATGGACAGCACTGTACGTGGTACAGTGATTGTGAGTCCCTGCCCCATATTTAGTTTGTCTGCTTCTTTGACCAATATGGCCATTGCAGTGATGGCCCTGAGGCAAGGCGGCCATCCAGCCGTGATGGGATCAAGTCTTTTGGACAGATAGGCCATGGGACGATTCCACGGTCCAAGGCGTTGGGTTAGCATGCCTTTTTGCTACTCCTTTGTCTTCTGCTACCAACAAGAGGAAGGGCTTTCCAACGTCAGGGAGCACCAATGCTGGGGTGCTCAAAAGGGCCTGTTGTAGGGCCTCAAAAGCCTTTTGTTCAGCCTCAGTCCAAATCAATGGAGTATTTCCTCCTATAGTAGCAGAGTATAAGGGTTTAGCTATCTCTACAAACTCTAGAATCCACAATCTGCAATATCCTGCTGCTCCCAGAAATTCCTGTACATGTTTTTTCATGGTCAGGGTAAGGATCTGCAGAATAGCCTGTTTGCATCTCATAGATAGCTGTCTCCTGCCTTTGCTAATTTTATATCCTAAGTAGGTCACTTTAGTGGCACATATCTGGGCCTTTTTGACTGATACCTGATACCCCATTTGTTGTAATAGCCTTAACAAGTCTCTGGTGGCCTGTAAGCAAATGGCTTTATTTTCCACGGCAACAAGATCTACATATTGCAGTAGCGACACCTCAGGATGTGCCAACTGGAATGGAACTAAGTCTCTGTTTAGGGCTTCATCAAATAAGGTTGGGGCATTTTTAAACCCCTGTGGCAGTCGGGTCCACATAAGCTGATCTGAGTTTCCCCCCTCTGGATCAGTCCATTCAAAGACAAAGGCTGGCTTACTGTGGCCAATGCGAGGCTGAAGAGCACATCTTTCAAATCCAACACGGAGTAGACTTGCCATTGAGGGGGCAGGAGGCTTAGTAAAGTATACGGGTTGGGGACTGTGGGGTGCACAGTCTCCACTCACCTGTTTACCTCACGAAGGTCTTGGACTGGTCAGTAAGTACTCGTTGGTCCCAGGCTTCAGAACTGGCAGAAGTGGAGTGTTCCATGCCCACTGACGGGTCCTCAGGATCCCAGCAGCAAGCAGCCTGTCTATGTGTTCTCTGATTTTGATCCTTGTCTCTAGTTTGATGGGGTATTGTCAGACTGAAATAGGCTGAGCAGAAGAGGTTAGTGTAACTACAATTGGAGGGTGTTGTCTGGCCAGGCCGGGGAATTGGTTTCTGCCCATACTTGTGGAAATTCTTTTTGAAGTTCCTTGATTATTGGTTGAGGGGTGGGCTGAGACTCAGCCACCAGCAGATATTCAGACAGTGGGCAAGTAACCATGATTTTAATCGTCCTGGCAGGAACCCCCAATTTTAAGTCAGCTTGTTCTGAAAAAGTAATGTTTGCCCCCAGTTTTCTCAGTAAATCTCTTCCTAGGTATATGGGCATTCAGGAATTACCAGGAAGGAATGAGTTATTTGCTGATGTCCCAAGTCCACAATCTGGGCCGTAGTCCATCTATATACTTATAAATTTTGTCCTGTTGCCCCCTGAACTAAACTCTTTTGTTTGGTCATTTTCTCTAATGGCTCAGTCAAAACTGAGTGGATACTGCTCTGGTATCCACCAAGAAACTTGTCTGTAATGTCCCTGATTTTTAATTTTACCATGGGACGGGGGCTCAACCTGTATGAGCCCTGAGTTCCCTATATCATGTTTTCTAGGGCGAGGACCTCAGGCTTTTTAGGTTTAGCTTGCTCCTGTTCCCATTGCTTTTTTAAGGGGCCCTCATGTTCCCAATCCCCACTTCCTTTGTAAAAGGCACATTGATCCTTTCCCAAGTTGGGTCTTTCACTTTTGTCGGTTTTTTTGAACTTTGGTCCCTGTCTTTTGACTCTTGTCAGCCTCATAACTCTGCAGTGCTGCGATGGTCACTTTTCCTAACTTTTTGGCAGCCACCTCTTCAAGGGAATCTCTGTTATCATAAACCTTCTGCACTATACCCAGGAGCTCCAATCTATTTTTCCCTTCAAATCCTTCTAACTTTTGTAACTTTTTTCTAAAATCTGGGGCCAACTGTGATACAGAAGCCAAATTTAAAGCAGCCGCATTTTCCAGAGCATCGGGGTTTATGGGAGTATAAACCCTATAGGCTTCTAAAAGCCCCTCCAAGAAAGCTGCAGGGGACTCTGTCCTATCTTGTTTTACCTCGCTTACCTTACTCAAATTGGTCAGCTTTCTGGCCGCCTGCCGGAGTCCTCCCAAAAGATGCTGGCAGTAGTTAGCCAGGTCTCTCCTACCTGCCTCTGTTTGGGTCCCAGTGTGGTCGCACAGTTGGGATTTCTGTCTCCACATGCTGTAGGTACCCCTGAGAGCCGGGGGCCAAGCCAGGGGCGTTTTCCAGGGCTGCTCTGACCACCTTGTGGTAGATGCGGTCCCGCTCCTCAGTGGTGAAGAGAGTCTGAAGAAGCTGCTGGCAGTTGTCCCATGTGGGCTGGTGGGTGTGGAAAACAGACTCTAACAGTTTTGGGCTAGTCTCAACAAATGCCATCCGTACATCAATACAGGGGAACTGATCCCGTTGTCGAGGCCCACCCGTTCCTGTAACCTGATTCCAAACCTCTCAGCAAACTCCTTTGTCAAACGTTCCCTTGTTCCCATCATCGGCCACCCAACACCAAATGAAGGCCATTCTAATCAACATAAGGTTAGAAGTTTCCCCTTGGAAAATTTAATCCCAAATTCAGCTTTTTTTCTGTGTAGTATAAATTTCATTAAAATCGTTTATGACACAATCAAGAGCACTAAGAGTTGAAGGTTTAGACGGCCCGGCTCCCAAGGTTCTCAGGAGACCTGGAAAGGCAAGAGGCACAACAAGCAAGCAGACAGACAACACAAAACAGAGACAGACAAATTTACAATGACTATATCCCTGTGCACCAAACAGCCATACAGAAACTGCTGATCTCCCCGGTGTCGTGGTGAAGCCCTGGGCAAGGAAATTGATGTTGCATCCAACTTTCTTTTTGGCCTAAAGGATCGTTTCCAGACTAATCATAGGAATACAAATTGCTACCTGATCTCCAGAGAAATTCAGACCAGATAAACTTCCTTCAGATGTCGGCAGCTTCTGTTATCCCTCCCGATTGGCGTCAGAGTCCCCAGGGCCCTGATCAAAATGGTCAGGGTGGCCTCCTGGGCCTCTCTCCGACACCGTGGGCCTAGGTGTCGCCGGCTGACCAGCCAGAGTAAAGATATATCTTGCTGGGGCCTCCAAAAATGTTATACCAAGCCAGTGAGAGAACACCAAATACGGGAACACAGATAAAACTGAAAGAATTTTATTTCACAAGTGCAAACTCCACTTCCTAAGAAAAGTGAAGCCCCGTTACAGGATTGTGTATAGGTTTTATAGGATTTTTCAAAACACAAAGTTCAGATGTAGGTCAGGGTTTTTTCACAGCTACAAGGGGGACAAACTTAAAACGCATTTACTCATCTTACACTTATAGGGATAGTGTTTCATGACCACCTTTAACATACCGTCTGTTCCTGGGCAGGCTTGCAATTAGCACAAGAAGGTTTTTGCAGTTTAAGTAGTTTTCCCTTTGATAAGGGGAGAGGGAAACAATAATCTCTGGGGTCATTAGCCGACAACTTTAGCTCACTTTAGCTCAGTCGGGTCTCACAGTCCACTGCCTGACACCCTGGCATGCAGGAGGAACCCAGGTCACCCAGACCTGGCCAAGACTTTCAGCTGGGCAGGACGAGCCAACAGCCCAGCATCAGTGACCATGACTGACCAGCATGCTCTTTCCCCTTTCCAGCGTTTCTGGGTCCGGGTTCTCTGACTTTAGTACTTGCCCTCGTCCCGGCGAGGGGAAGGTGGTGGCAGAGCTGGGAGGGCGAGGATAACGTAAGGAAATGCTGCAGCACCCAGGTGGTTAGTCAGTGAATGTTATTTAGGGCTCAAACCCCCTGGGGTCTTGGTGCTCTTTCTAGTTTTCAATATTTATTTACTCATTTGTTTACTAGAGTGATCTCTCTTTATCTGCCCCTGGCCCTGCCCATCTCTATTTTTGGTACTGGGGTCCTTTCAGTGTTTTTTTGGAGCTGGGTGCCGGAAGTGACGTATTTTCTGCCCGCCCACTCCGCCCTGGCGCTCACGCTGGCGTCCGGCGCCGCACTCCTGTGATGAGGGGGGCTGAGGTGCGAGGAGGGCCGGGGTGGCCGCGCTTCCGAGAAGAAGGCCGCCAGGGCGGAGAAGGTGTCCAGCCGCTCGCG